CGGAACTCATGAAATTATTTACCTTTCGCATGTAGTCAATCACTGTACACACACCCACACATGTCAGTTGTGTAATAAAACATAACGGTCGCCGCCTGCAGTAAGCACTCAGCGCGTGACTACACGACCAATCACAAGCCGAGCAGTGCCATCACAACAAGCACGGACAAAGTACACATGCATCGGATTCGACGCACAAGCAGCCCACATGCACCGTTTTAATGATTTTGCCACCGACCTGCTACGCTCAACAGGCCATTTCAAATCCATGTGGACCAAATATCAACTTTGCAAAAGTTACTTTTAAAACTTGGAAAATCTGTCGAAAAAAGGTGCTGGAACTCCGTTCCAGTGCGTTCTATGACAAAAAAAAAAAAAAAAAAAAAAAACACTGCTTCTCTGTATCCCACATGATAAATACCTAGTCTTTTAAAAAATCTGTGCATGTATACATTCTTCAGGCACTTGGTTCTCAGGGCCATTAACAGTAGGACAGTTAACAATGGTTCAAAATTAGAATAAAAACAGATAATACAAATAAAAGCAGGAGCAGAAAACAATGACTGTTCACAAATTTAATGGTACAGTCCTATAAATATTTTTAGATAGGAAAAAGTCCTACAACTCCTATCACGGCTGGGGAATAATAGGATTTATGGGACTTTTTTGTCTAAGCATGTATAGAATTGCACACTAAAAAATTCTTGTCTGGCACCGAAAGACAACAAATGTGGCTGTTTTAGGCCTTTCTGGGAGGGGAGTTCCACAGAGTGCCACTACTGAAAAGGCCCTCTCTCTGTCTACCACTGGCCTCACTTCAGAGAGTGGAGCTACCTGAAGAAGACTTCTGTTTGTTAATCTTAACACACAAGCAGGCTGAAGTGGGTCAGGTGTTCCTAATCCCAAGCCATGTGAAGCTTTGAAGATTCCTCCCTCCATCCCTCCCACTCCCCACAGCCTTTAATTCTTTTCAGGGACAGCCTGGCTACCAGTTATGCTCTTCATGGTCTGGTGTAATATGACCCTAATGTTCCATTCCAGCTACCATATTGAACCAGATGTAGTTTGTGAGAACTCTTAAAAGTAGTTCCTTGTGCTGTGTCCTTGCAGGGCTACAATCAGAACATGGATCATTGTGGCTCGGCTATTTATGTTCAAGAGAGGCTACAGCTGGTGCACGGCTTCTTTAAATACAGACAGACACTAATTATGTATTTCAGAAGAATGCAAGTATTGATGAGAATGGGGATGGGAGGGACAGGAGAACTAAATTTGCTGAACTTTAGTTCATCAAATCTAATAGCTGTTAAAAAATATAAAATATTTATGAATAAAACTGATGTGATGTAAGCAGACATTATACTGAGGGCCTAATGGTACTAAACATTATGTGACAATGCATTAATGTTTTGCGCTCATTGTTGGTATATTTTGAAGTTCGCCTTCCAGATATGATAGACTGTAACTTCCATAATTCCCAACTGATATAGTCATTAGCTAGTATAAATGGCTTTTCCCATCTTTTGATTAGGCTTCATTAATCTATAACTACAGGAGATAACATAATGGCTTGGAGCAGGATTTTTATTGCAATTGTCCTGAGGACCTGAAATAATTTCTCTCTGCAGTGCTCAGGACTAGCTCCTCCCTTCCAAATGAGTGGCAGGATCCACCTACAAGTGGTCTTTGGTGACTGACTGGATAGCCAGCTGCTCTGACTATGGTGGTAGTGTGTTTTATAGTAATGTATTATTTGTCTTTTAACTGTAGTTCCATATTGTCTTCCATATTTATCTGAACTGCATTTAGCCTGGGAATGGTAATAGGTAAATAAACTTACATTGCACATCTAGAGGTATTCCTTTGGAGATTTCATATTCCAAAGAGCTTGGGAGAATCATCTCTATGCCTTTTAACAACTGCTGTGTTATATTTTTCACACTTATTCTTGTGTGTAAAAAGCAGAATTGCTTTCAATTCTCTAAGACTTCATCTGACAAAGATCAGCATGTGTTTTCTAAATATCTCCCCATATTTGGAAATATGACATCAAATACTTCACCTTTCTCTGTTCTAAATCACTTAAGCATCCATAAAATGTTCACAATTTAATGTCAACAACATTATTGCTGCTGTTCTTGCAGCATCAAATTATTATTTAGATCAAGAAAACAGTCCAGGCATTTGCTTTTTAAACTGAGGGAACGATGGGAACAATTCTATGAACAGGCTGCACAGCATCTTTCATTTCTTTCTTTATTACTATTATTAAAGTGGGTTATTTAAAAAGAATGAACAGTATGTGCCACCCCATCTCTCATACTGCAACATCTATACTCAAAGAGGATTATTTGGAATAGTTTTTATTCTGTTTATTGCATTCTGAGCAATACACATGTTTTCACATGCCTGTTTCCATGAGAACATGATCAGAACCCAAATTAGTATCTAAGGGAAATGCTAAAGGAACCATTCAGTCTGGGGATATGATTGCTTTGGAATTATTAGCACCTTGTACCAGATATTAATCTGAGCCCATTTAGGAGGTGATATTTGTAATTATGTAAATAATTGTGTAACAACTTCATCATGTGAACCGTGCATTGCATACTGACCCACTGTCATTCTTCACCTTACATCAATCCCTGTCGAGAGGCCCTTCCTCCCAACATACACCTTCATGTTAAAATCTATGAAAATGGGGGAATGGGTTGCCTGAGTCCTTCCCTGGAAGCCCCCATTAGCTGTTCTGCATGGGCTGAAGAAGCTGAAATTAGTTCTGTTTATGCACGGAACCATTCTAAGTACTAACTCCCCCAGGGCATTGCTTGAGACCCTCATATAGTTTAAGTCATTAAATTTCTTTAAGTATTATGACTTCCCAAAATGTTTTTCTTTTAACTTACACTGATAATGCACTCTCCTTCTAGCAACTGAACTTTAATGTAACAAGTAGTCACTCCCTTTTTCAGTGCTTCCCTTATCCACATATAACCAAACTGGTGAAGATGGGTCAACTAGAACTATTCTAATCTTCTAATATTCCTCACCCACCCTATCACAATCACCGGTGAGTGGCTATCTTTTGAGGAGAACAAGGCTGAATCTGAAATCTAATGGTTCTTGTTGCCTGGACTCAGTCTATTCCTACTGCAAGGAACTAGAGGAGGCATTATTTGCATAGGTAAGAGAGCAGACTTCTCTGCCTTAAATGATCATGAACATCAAGGGATGAGTGTTTCAAAGAGCGGTGTGTTCAGCTGTTTCCTTGCAAGAGATGGTTACAGATTGTTGTAGAGATTTATGATGTGCTAAGATTTTCTGCTCTATCAGTGGTCTATCCTAAATTAACTACTCAAGTTCAGGAAGTCTAGGGGTGATATTGAAAAAGACATCCTGTTTTTTTCATGGCTATTCATCCATAATCCTAGAATTTTAGATCCAGTATTTAGTTCCACTTTCTGCAGTGAGACAGAAAACACTGTTCCTGAAGGACTGAAATCTTTCCTACCCTCCCCCACTTTTTTTGAAAAACTGGAATTTCCCTTCTACTTAATCTGTTCTTGGAAATAGGCAAACATAATGAATGGCCTTCTGGACTTCTTAAAACTTGTGTAGATTTTCCGGAATTTCTTGCTGTCAACTTTTCCTGTCTTTGGGGAAGCATTTAGTATTCATAATAAGGTATATCCAACTCCAAGAACGGTACTTTCTAAACCATAGACTATTGGCAGAACCATATTAGGTAAAAATATAAGAACCATGCTGGATCAGACCAGGTGCAATATGTTTACACAGTGACCAGTCAGCTGCCTACAGGACACCCCCTGATAGGGCACAAGTGCAGCAACACCCTCTCATCTATTTTCCCTCACAGCAAGTGTAAATAGGCAGTCTACCTCTGATAGTGGAGGTAGCACAGAGCCATCAGAATTAGTAGTCATCAATAGCTTTATCTTCCACAAATTTGTCCAATTGCCTTTCAAAGTGATCCAAATGGGTGGCCATCACTACACCTTGTGGAATTTAATTCCATAATTTAACTATAAGCTGTATGAAAATGTACTTCCTTTTATCTGTCTGGAATATCCCACGAATCAGCTTTGTGGGATAACCCTTGGTTCTTTCTTGTTTTATGAGAGGGGGAAAAATATTTCCCTATGCACTATCTCCACACCATGAATATTTTTTTACTGCACATCATATTCTTGGTTTATGTTCAGTTTATTATTCTAAAAAACCTTAAGTCGCACTGAGTAATGCTTTTTATATTAATCATTTTTATTTTATTTTCTGACTTATAGTGTTTGATTTTTACTTTCAGTTTAGCTTTATTAAAGTTGCTTGTGAATCTAAAGGTTGGAAACTTGAGATAAATAGATTGCAAATTTAAGATTGTTTTGTAAATTTTGAATTGTTTTAAGCAGTGTGAATCGAATATCTCTAAACTTTACAGTGAATTAAAAGGCATTGCTATACCCTAAGAGAATAGTTGGTTCTAATTTAATCCCAGCTGTTATGGAGTTTTGAATAATGGGAGCTGCTTATCCAGCAAGTTTGCATTGAAAAGTGCTTTGAGTGACACTACATGGCATTTTGTATAGCAAAGGATGCAATCAACTGCAAGATGGGCGCATTTGTGTTTTGTAGGTCTCACTGAAATGAATAAATTGGAACAATCAGATTCACGCAGGAGAACAGTTTTATCTATTATTCCTCAAAATTCTGATCTTACTCAGATTGACATTAGCAAACAATTTCTGTTCTGCAACTGACCTTTTGTAAATACTCAGTGATTTTGCAATTTGATAGTTTACTTTTCAACATTTATGCTCATTCTTGGTTGCCAAATAACAGTGAATTCAAAGCCTTGCAAAATCTGTTATCGGGCGGGGGAAAAATAATGAAGACTACTACATCAAAAGTTCTCATTAGACTTGCTTTTGGGATTAAGATTTTTCATATTTAACATTTCCCCATTTTTGTGCTATTTATTTCAGATCTCCAGTTTGGTACCCACTGATCAATTCCAGTTATACCAGAGGTTAAAATTTGAAAGAGGTATGGCTTCTACATTCAGTTATGTGGTAAATGTGAAATATACTCATATAATTGATCTCACACAATACCAAATGATGTGTGGGAGGTTTTGCTAGGTGAACCAGCCCACCTTGGATGATTTACTAGACTAACCCTCACCAACTTGGTAACCACCCAGTGGGTTGGACTGAGGAATGGTGGAACTAGTAGTCTAGCACATGTGGAAGACACCAGCTTGGGGAAGACTATTAAATGGACAGAGCAGTCATATACAAATCAATCCGGAAACAAAGTCCTACTAATATCAGTGGGTCCTACTTTTAAGTGCCTGTTTAATTTTTTGTTGAGAATGTTCAAATATTGGTATGGTGTCTATTCCTGCATTTCCCTTTTTTAGGGTTAGGATGCTGAATGCATTTATGGGCTTTTGGGTTGTGTTACAAGTCACTGTGGAATACAGTGGGTGGTATATCCATAAATGGTTGTCTTGACCTCTCTCTAGACTTTGTGCCGTTTAACCCAACATGAACAAACTTGCTCTGCTCTGCATGGCTTTGCTTGCAAGAGACTGGCTACATTTGGAGCACATGCATTTTTAATATATCTGTTTCTTGGGCACAGGGAGAAAGGGCTAACCTCTGTTCTCTGCATGTCACATATCACCAGTGCTGCTGCTCAGATATTTAAAAATGGATATGTGAAATGCACTCATGCTTTTCACATATAGTTAGGTTGATGCTGAACCTCCTGCTGTGGGATAACTGATATAACTGTTATCTTCCATCTGGAATTAAACTGTGCTCATCATAGCAAAGATGGCCATGTCATCTGTCTGATGCCTTTAAACTGGGTAAGCAACCATAGCATATCATACAATGTTTATACCTTGTTGGAAGTTAGTTTGCCATCATTTTATAGCTTTGTAAAGGAAGGCAGTTTTCATCTTTCTCTTTTCTAGAATACCGTAATGTTTACAGACCTAGGCATGTCTCTTGATTTACCTATTACTGCAGAATGTTCTTGCTTTAAACTTATCCCATGCATAAACCCTCATGAGTCCCAAGTTACCATTTGATTGAAACAGAAGGCAATTCACGATTTGATATCAGAAGCAAGTGAAGACAGAGACAAAATATGAATAGAGAAATGGCAAACTAGCTATGAAAGTTAAAATATGTTTGCATTAAATATTTTCAGAAGTACATTTGGATCCACTCAGAACCTGGTGCCCCTCTGCTGAGTGTCAGACTGTGTGCCAAATTGAACCAAGTGAATCTGGATTACCAGTGCCTGTAAAATGCCAAGCTTGCTACTTGACATTCTGTTCATCATGCAAAGAACCTTGGCATCTGGAGAGATCGTGTTTGGAAAGCCATCTTATCATGGTACCAAATGAGCAAGGGTAAGAGAAGGATTTGCCTGGGTGGTGCATATTTGTCATACCCTTATAATTGCAATGAATGCTATTTTAGTCACAAATACATTTTTAGTGTAAATGTATCTGCTGTATATCTTGTCAGGGCAGGAAGAGCATTTTAAACAGAATGCCAGGATATACCCCGGTGGATTTAACTCAGGGGTTTGCCATGCTATTTCATAATTTCTGATCCCTGTAGTCCAGTTTGATGGGGGCCTCAGGTCTTTCCGGCTTCTTGTTGTTCTTAAATTCCAGTCGTGATTATTGCAGCTAGTCCACTTGGCCAACCTCTTGTGAGTGTGTGTTTTGGCTGTGTGCTGCAGCACTCTTCACACTTTCACACTTTCAGCTAAAATGTTGTGGAGTGGTAGAAAGGCAGATATATGTACAGACCACCCACTTCTTCAGTGGAAGTAATGCTTGGATTCCTTCTTCACATGTTACTGGATGCGTGCAAACAATGGATGAATGGCTTGGATATTCCCTATAGATACACCCATTTAGAGAAATGCTAGAACTAAGGATGTTTTAAAGAACATTTTTGCTGCCATGAGGGAGTGCTTTCATGCTGCCTTATATGGGGTCCAAATTATTTCAGTTGTCCAGATTCATCCAGGAAACTCGGACCATTGCACAACCAGGCAGTCTGAATAACCATGAAATCATTGTGGCACTTCCAGATCCCTGTGCTGAACTACCATCTTTCACAGGTTTTTCTCTCCACTTTCTAGAGCACTTATCAGGACTGAAACAGAAGCTCCAATTAAGCAGTGCCCAATTTGCCGTATTTATATTGAGCGGAATGAAGGCTGTGCTCAGATGATGTGTAAGAACTGCAAGCACACATTTTGCTGGTACTGTTTACAAAACCTGGATGTAAGTGACCTATGGTAAAGATTTTGGGGCAGGGATTTTATAGGGCCTTGTCCTATAGCACCTTAGCACTTGTTGTAAACCAGAGTACTACATTTGTTGTAACCCTTGAGTTTGGTCTGGAAGCTGCAGGCAGTGCAAAATGCATCTCCTTTGCTGTTGCTGGGTGCCACTCCATATCACCATGTAACACCTCTGTCGAAAGCTCTGTGTAGGTATCTGTCTCTACTAGTCTATAAAGCCCTAAACAACTTGGGACCAGGATGCCTCTTCTCATCATCCTAATTCAATCACTGATTTCTTTTGAAGAGGCATTCCTAGTGGCCCCACATGACTTTGAATACCGCTTGCAACTCGCATAAGGCCTTTAGTGTGGCAACTCCCACTCTGAGGAATGGCGTTCCAGTCGAAACCAGGAACACACCTACAGTCCTTTATTTTCAGTGCCTGTTGAAGACTTACCTTTTCAAGCAACCATTTCCTGATTGATGAGTAAATTCCAACTATAGTTTTATTGATTAATTTGTATAACTAGTTTCACTAACTGTGGAGTGGTTTGTAAATTCTGTAATACATACATAGTTTGTGAACAGCTAAGAACATAAGATGAGCTTTGCTGGGTTGGGCCAATGATTCATTCAGTGCAGGATCTTACCTCTTCTGGTGGCCCAGTCAGATGTCCCGGGAAGCCCACAAGTAAAACCTGAAGATAGTAGCACTGTTCTCCTGTTGCAGTTTGACTTTACAGCATACCACACAAATATATATTGTTGGGAAAATTCAGCTAAATCCTGGCAGAAAAGAGCTGCTTCTGCATCTTTGTGGTATAAAATGCTTGCACCCCTTTCTCAGGAAGCACCCAAAAATATAAAGCCGGGTTACTGTTTGGCATTTACTGTTACCTGATGGGTAAGTGGGAAGTGGGAACAGAAGTGGGACTTGATGGCTTCCCCAAGAAGCTGCCAGGGCTATTGTTTTGTTGATCAGTAAGAACTGGTCAGTCTGCCAGGCTAACAGCATTACAGTTCTCAACCTCATTTGCATGCCAAGACTCACAATAATCCCACAATTGTTGTGTTAATATCCTGCAATCAAATGCCATTGTATTGAGCCCTCCTCTGCAGACCTCTTACCTTCTTCTGACTGTGTTCACCTTATTTCATCATCAACTGCCCATGTGACTCAGAATCTATAAAATACTCTGTATATGTTCTGAAAGCTTGTAGTTGGTGGTGCGATCCACTACCCAGTCGCATGCTGTCGTAAGTAACTGCAGGGGGCCTGGGTGATCTTTCAATAAAACTGTTGAGGTTCAAGGTGAAAGGGGTCTTCCCTAACTGAACCTGGTTTTCTTTGTTGAGGCTGCCATCGAGGTTTTCCCAACTTTCATTCCCTCCTTCCCTCCCTCCCTCCATATATATGGGGAGAGAGAGAGAGAGAGAGACCATCGAGACAACCTCTCTGTAGGGGAGAGGGTAGATTCATTAGTTGTACTACTTCGATGATTGAAGTTTCCACCAGCACTTATTTAAGTTATTGGATGGTTAGCTATCATTGCTCAACCATTCTCTTTTTTCAGGCTGTCATCTATCACATGGCATCTGTCCCTTAAACAGAACTGCCTGGTGTAGGCGTAGTGCTAGTATCATAAGCTATGATTTACAAAGGTGACTTATTTCTACAAACTGTAGTTAAGATTAGCCATATTTTAGTGTTTGAATGGCATGTCAAGTTGTGGTTAATCTGAAATGGAAGCAAAAGTTTTCCTTGGTCTCCTTGCAGCTATGTCAAAAATGGAGAGGAAATGGGGCTGCGCACAAGCCCAAATCCTATCTAGGTTTGTCCTTGTAAAACTGGGGCATAGTTTAGTATTACATGTAACCCAGCACATTGTGAACATTCATCCTACTAATTGCCTTTGACTTTTAACTCCCTTAAAAAGTTAGATACTGAACAAAATCATTGAAGTTCTCTTTCCAAACACCTCCTGAAAATATCTGATTTTGTACCCATTAATGATTAACAACCTACTAATGTGTGTTTTGGAAGAGTAAAATACGACCTTGCTGTTCCATGGTCATACTGTCCTCTACCTGTCTGTTTTCCTGTACTTGTAACATTTGGTCATATTAAATGAAGTTTGCACATGATGTATCTTCCTGTCCATTTTTATTAGCTTACTTTGCATTTTTGCAAGTATGTTGTCTCTGTCCCTGTAATATGTCCATAGTAATCTACTTTTATTAAGCACCTAATAAACGATTGATTTGTAGAAATCCAGGAAGTATCACCTTTCAAATTAGTGAAGTTCTAATTTCTAGGACTGTGGCCTTCCTCTGTCTAGGATCCTCCAGATGTGTTGGCCCATAGCTTCCAGCATCCACCAGCCAGCCAAGGCTGTAGTAGCAAGCAGAAGAACCTTAGCAACCCAGATACGGACTGCTGCTTCTTCACCTAAGGCAGGGGTTGGCAGATGATAGACCTCCAGATGTTTTGGGCTCCAGCTCCCAGCATCCTTGGCAGGGTCTTACAGGAATTGAAATCCATTTGGAGATCTACCTTCTGTCCAATCCTGACATAGAGCACTGGATACTATTTAAGGGTAGCCCAGTATATTATATTTGTAAACCGTCTTGAAATTGTGTAATAATCAGATGGTATATAAGACATTGTAAGCAAGTAAATAAATAAATATTAACTACTTAGCAAGTTCTTTTTCTTACCTTTCAGAATGACATCTTCCTAAGACATTATGACAAAGGTCCCTGCCGAAACAAACTGGGCCATTCCCGTGCTTCAGTCATGTGGAATAGGACACAGGTATGCCAATAAGCCAAACTCATGTCTTCTATCAGGATTTTACCAGTGCATATGTATGCCTATGCACTCAGCCAGTTCCCCCATTTCGTATTGCATCTCTCTTTTTTATTTTTCAGGTTGTTGGGATCCTGGTGGGTCTGGGTATCATTGCTGTGGTGACATCTCCCTTGCTGCTGCTTGCCTCACCATGCATCATCTGTTGTGTTTGTAAATCCTGCCGAGGCAAGAAAAAGAAACATGACCCACCGACTACCTAGAGTTTTCTTCCTATTGGAAGTGAATATCTACATCGTATATGTGAAGAAGAAGACCAGAAGGCTGATCTTTTATGTCAAGGCTTTCCCAATCAATTCTCCTTCTCTTTGCCAAATTCTGCAAGAAGTGCCTACAGGACACCTTGTTGTTTGCAGGTTGCAGTTCAGCAATGGGATGGATGTCTGTTATATTCTGGGTTCAGTTCTTCTTTTTTAAGTATGCAGGGATTTTAAGGAACTTTAAGGTTCTTTGAAATAATGCACCTCTATCTGAATCTTGCAGGTGAAGCTATTTTTTCCCTCCTAATTCTGGATGTGTATCAGTTTTAGAGCACTTTAAGCTTGCATTGTCTGAGGCAGTCCTTCAGTTAAATGAGGGAATATAGGGAATGGTTCAGCCCCATTTTAATAAATCTTTGGGCATTGCAACTTTAACTTCCCAGAGCCAGAGTGAAGGAACACAATATTATTACTAACAGTTACTAAATAAAACAACTGTGCCTAAAAAGGTAGAAACAAATAGAAATAGTAAATATACCTTAATGGATATGGGATGTAATTTGCAATTGCTAAAAGTCCAGGGAAGAATAACTAATAGCATTTGCCTTAGTCCAGCCTCAGAAACAAATTAAGCCGTTACTGCAAGAACAAGTATAATGTACCACACAAATATTACTCCTTGATTAGTACTTGGGTTTAAACTAATATCAAGCATTTTGGAAAGCACAACTAGTCCATCTGTGGCACTGGTACAAGAAGTTGCAAATACCATGACGTTTTCAGAGTATGCATCATTGGGCCTGTTCTGCTCTCGTTCTTTCCTGCATTGTACTACTGCTACATCTTCAGGCACAATTGGCTGCATACATATTGCAGTGGTGCTGCAGGTCCACCCAGACTTTGGGTTTCACTTAAGGCAACTTCTGTTTCATTTGCCAAGAGCTTTGGTTGTCACTGTTGTAAACTAGGTTTTCAGTATACATTTGATACTTTTGTGCAAATTCTAAAAAAGGCATGCCAGTGAGTTGCTTAGGTCTATTAATGGGCCAATCTTGCCAAAACAAATATATCTGCATTACATTATTTCATAGCATTGGTTAAGAACTGTTAAATTTCATGTGCATCTCAGAGCAAATCACACAGTAATGAGTGCAACCTTTCAGTTGAATTGACAGTAAAGTTCATTGTCCTAGAGGACAAGCCAGAACAGCATTGTAATCAAACAAGGAGCTGCATGATCTGAAAAATACCAGAACAGGTCAAATGGTAGTGTGGTAGGGAAAAGAGACCCATTGCCTCAAGTCCCTAGCCTACAAGATTGCACAAGAGCAATTATTTTCAATTCCAGCACTGCAAAACTGATCTTTTTCTTTCTTATTCTTTGGAAAATACCGGCATTGTATAAACTGTTCTTTCTTGAACAGTTCATGGTTATGTACCCTCCTGCCTGCAGCTTTTGACTGGCTTTTATAGCTAGTTGTGGCCTTGTTTTGTTCTGTATTGAATAATATACTGGTAGAGTATTGATATAAATAAATTTACTGCTTCAGGAAAAGCCATTCATGTCTTATTCTGTATACTCAGTCTATATGCACACAAAGCAAATACGCATTTCTACAGAACATAGTATCCATAAAGAGTTCAATTAAGTAGGTTTATTCAGTCTGTAATTACTGGATCATCTAGTTTAGAAAAGGAATTGTCATTTTGGCTAAGAGACTTCTTAGTCAAATGATCCTTTGCAAATATTTTATCTGACACACTCTTAATTTATTGGGAATATTTAGTCCAAACTAAAACTGTAGATATGTGTATCTTCCCCTTAACATTTTCAAACCCAGACTAACCTCCAGAAGTTATTAGTTGGAGCAGTAAACACTAGGAGATAGGGGTGCTTCATCTCCTCACATCTGTTTTTGCCTTAAAATTGCCTCCTTCCCCAAGCTGATGTTCTCACCACAAGAGAAAAGAAAGTTCACATAAAATACTATCCAAATTAACCTGGAAATTCTGAACAACTTGGGAAAATGGATAGGCACCTGAACTGAATGCAATGTTTTAGCATTCTCTGTTATATTGTGTGTTTCTTTTCTTTTTTTAATGTACTGTTATGTTTTCTTAAGGCCATGATATAAACTTCTGTGGCTTCCCTAGAGAAGCTGTGGGGAATGTAGTTCCATGGGGTATTTGAAAATTTTTATTATAAGAGACAATACTATGGCTCGGATGGGGTCAGAATCCTGCTGAGTATAACTAGCTTAGGCTCTAGTTTGGCAATACCCTAACACTAGGGATGTCACCAGTTAAAGAAATCTTAATCAATGACTTGTTCAGTTGATCAAATCTGTAAATGAATAAAATAATAGTCCTGTAGAAATAGGTATAACTTTGGTTTTTGACCCATAAGAAACAACAGGAGACCTGTTTGGTCTTTCTGACCACATTTCTTCTATATGTGAGCAACAGGGTTGTGTTGTATAGCCCCCACCCCTCAGTGTTCATGCACAGAGTGTCGGCTCATGTATACAGCAACATGTATGTTGGCTTTCCCTTTCTTTGTGTGTTGCCTCGGGAACCTACATGATATGCATAACATTGGGGGCAGGACCATGTGGTGAGACCATCTCTCCACTCACATGTAGAAGTAAGAATGTCCAAATAGGACCAATATTTAGCTGTTATCTGTAACCAGGATTTTAAACCAATTACCTTGTTTGCATTTACATAATATAAGCTTATGGCTATTTTGGAAGTA